TACCTGTTGAATACCTAAGTAAGCGGACGTAAATAATGCAATAAAGACCATGATTGTTCCTATGTGCGGATAATTTAAATTTTACGATATCAAGCTTTAATTTCACGAAGCCTCATGTACTATATGATAATTGTAGTTTACCAATCGTCATTTCATGTAAGTCTGAATCAATCTGTGCCTTGTCACTAGCCTCTGCTGTCTGGATGATGTCAAGATTATGCAAAGAATGAATAATGTAATATATAGAAGCATGCTTCTAGCAGGAATCAAATTTCGTTGATAGACACCGTAAATACGCCAAGTACAGCACGGAATCCCTAAAAAAAGTGGCCTGTGACTGCATAGAGGGAAGTCCTTATAATCGTGATTACGCGGTGATAATGTATAGTGAACTCTAGAGACCCTAAAAGAAAGAGAGGATGCAGAAAATGCTTATCCCAGTCTTACCTAGGGGCATTGATCCCACCGTATAGGACGCACGACCCAAATTTAATCCACAACATTGTGATATTAGTGTTCTATATTAGGCCATAATAATTCATGAGTTATGACACAAATAGATCTTGACATAAATTATGGGAATCCCATACGTGGCTTACTTAGAATGGGTGAATCCAAGCTCATGATCAGTTTTATTTTAATGCAACATTGATGGCTTGTAAACATAACCAGTTAGTGAGTTGTGAGTTGTGCAATCATCATACATATCCCAGCGTGGAATTGAAATCGTGTCATAGGTTAAATTCATTTCGACAACACTCCAATATTTACCCTTTATGATATTTTGATAATAGATATTCTAAAATCATTACTTCATGAAAGTTTACATGTCTATATATATAGTACTTCACGTTGAAATACAACCTACGTTCTTAACCAAAGATCTAAAGTCTAAAGAAATTCTAAGTAGCAGTTTCTTTTCTTTCAGATTTGTAAGGTTGTGAAATTCCCAGTAGAAATCGTACAGATACTTTTATGGTAAAATGTATACTAACTTCACACTATTATTAAACAACGTAAGCAATATTGATAGCGTATACTGCGGTGTGAGTAATCACTCTCTTTGTCTAATCAAGGTTAAATCACAGCGATACAAGAATCGAACAATCAAGTAAAAATTTCACTTCAGGAACCTGAATTAAATCAGTGTATATTTCTATAAATCATAATAACCTAGTACTATTAAAGGATAATTCAAACTTTCCACTGAAAGGACTACGAAGATGTGGATAGCTATTATAATCTTCATAATATCCATCCAAAGCCAATAATCGTCAACATAGTTGTTCAATTAACTCCAAAATGTAGAGTACTGTATGAAGCTCTTTCGATTAAATTGAATTTTAGAATAGAAATTATCATTCAATCTATTCTAAGGAGCAGTATGACCTTCTAATGAGCCCTTTATTAGTCTTTTTCGTGAAATAAAATTACCCAGCGTATGCATCTTTAGCACTATTCAGTAGTTCGTAATTGTTATTCTTAGAGAGGTAATCAGCACTTAAAATCAACAGCAAAACGGTAACAAATCTTAAAATATTTTAGGCCTACCTTATATTTTATAGTATAATATTTTAATTTCATTCATACGGCATTGCTGCGACCTTGAAATACAATATTTTATCTCATTTTTTTACTGTCAGTATACCGTGTTGAAGCATTGAAATTTATGCTCCCGTAACAATTTATTACACTATAGTACATTATATCATTTACGGCTGATACTGGCACAATCAAGGCAATATTAATATAGCTGTATACAGGTATCAGTCTTATGATCTTGACAATCGGGATTATAATTTCAAAATAAATATAGAACACACCACATATTGTACTGTAGGCTGTAAAAGAACTATATTTATTAGTCATATACTATTATATTATGATCGAAAACGTATTAATTATGAATATAAACAATAAACTCAGAAGTTGCAGTCATACATTAATAGTTTAGATATTGAAACTGTCAATTTGGAAATATAGAATGCCTCACGACCTCGTATTAAGTTAACAAAAGTATCAGCAGTGACAATAAACACTGTGTGCTTCGAGCTGGTTTTAAGTCAACTTTACACATATCGGTACATAAATGAAAGCTCGTCTTATAATAGCCATAACATTGTTGACGTTTTTAATTAGATCTTATTCGTACATTAATGAGTCAAACCTTAGTTCAACTATAGTGATATGAAAGAAAAGTATAAAATATCGTTGACAATTTATGAATTTAATATTTTCCAAGATTTCCCAATGAATGCCAAACAATTCTAAGTCTTCTCATGCAAAAAATTTGATAAAAAATTGGATTGTACGATATTAATCCACGACAGGTCATTTATCTTTCTATAGTACAGTAATGTAATTGAGAATTGCAATCAAGTATTTCAACATAGAAAAGTTAATGTTTCTACCTTTTTATACTATAGAACTTTCAAACTTTCTTTCAGAATTACACGGTAAAAGCATAGGATTTTATGTAACACTGCGAATTAGGTGATCAATCCTCTAATACAAAGTAAATAGAAGTCATAAAACTGAACTATTACCTTATTAATGTACAGTAATTGAAAAGAAAATAAAATGCCTCAGTTTTAATCTTAAAATGTAAAATTCAAATCGTCACATTTTTCATTACTGTATCAGGATGGACGTCAGTAGAATCGCTGATGTGGTATTGTTTAACTTGATCGTATGCCTTAGAATGTTTGATTTAAAACTATAAATTAATTATTACGAATAAATAAATAACCGTGTAATTACATTCATGTTATCGATGGGATAGAATGAGTAAACTAAAAATACAATAATATTTTAATTCTATCGTCATTATAATTTACCTCGACTAACTACTTTATAATGGGGATCACTGACGTATCCGGTAAATAGCATGGTTCCTTATATTTTCTATAATCTTCTGATTATGGCATGAACAGCAGTATTATTATTTAATGCTATCGCTAGCTATTGTTTACTTTCGAATCAATCACAGTTTCTTGTTTTGCTAGCTACCGTTTACCTACAGTAATCACGACATGCCATTCATAAATAATGTTACCAATTTAATAACCGTTTTTAAATTGCTGTACTACGTCTGCTAGTTTATCTCAGCATAAGATATCATAGATGATAACTTACTATATCGATATTTCCATTCATGAGTATATACGTCCATTGGAGAGAATAAGCCAAAATGGAACGAAATCAAATCTCGTTCTATAGTATACAATATCCATTAAGAAGCGCAATGACTCAAAATTCGAAATTAGATATTGATTTAATCTCTATCAACAACAGTTTCCCACTTAGGCATTTCTTCAATAATTGGCATTCTAGTTGGATCAAATTGAAAAAATAACTATTCGGCGAATATATTTAATACTTTGTTACTTTATCAAAAAGAGTTTCGGCCAGACAAAAGAAGGTTATCTCATATTAGACTGATGATTTCATAAATCCATATTCGGCTCTTTGAAATATTATCTATGTCGGGCGCTTCATGTAAAGGAATAAAATGATAAAATTGATAATAAATGATAAATTGCTAGCGACATCATAAATCTTGTTCTGTTTACCTAATAAAACTCTGTGTCCGATACTAACAATTATTGTGTTTGAAGGACGATAATTATCATTTGATCAATTTCAACATTAAATCAGTAAAGTAGTGATCATATACCGTAGGTATACAGTAAAAAACAAATTTGACGATTAGATTTTGCCGTACTATGACGAAGGCAAGCTCGTGCATTCTTGTTCATTATTATAATTATTAATCGATTTTATTATGGTTACTTAAAAATGTCAATGTTGTTGTGAAGATGATGTTTGCCGTCGACAACAAACACAAGTTAGTTCTAATAAAACAATCTTATTAGGCCTGTATTTGTTATCAACATGTTTTGATGGGGTTATATTAAATGTTGTACATTAGTTTTTGTTGTATAATGCAATACGTAAGTTAGGATAGTTATGTGCTCTGTTAATGTCATGCTAATCATGGCAATTCTTATGTCAACATTGAAATAACTAACACTGATACTATATGAAAGGTACGAAAACAAGAAATATGAACACTAGAAATTAAAGCAACGGCGTAATATATCTAAATGAATCAAGGACGTCTTAAACTATTCCTTTAATGCTAATGACGTTGTAGGCGCCATAACCCAAGTGTGCGGCCTAAATCAAGCAATTATCGACCTTTTGAAAAATTAAATTGCATTCATTAGTTATAGAAATTTAGCAATTAGTGGTATTTTTGTCGTAATTCTATTGTTTCAGCATTAAACGATCGCGATATTATTGTGAATTGGTATAGACATCAAAATGTAATACACGCCCAGTATACTATAGAATAAAGCTACAATTTGATCTAATAAAGATATGATTACGGAATAATTTTAAAATGCTGCAGACAGTATCTTAATTTAGCGGCACTCTTTTTCAGTTATGCTATTAGTACAATCAACTGTATATGTCCATCTAACTTGCGTAAATCACCATATATCGAAAAAGGAAGTGATAAACCAAGAATGAAACTGTATACTGTGTATATAGATACACCGGTAGCTAATCAGTAAGTTCCGGTATGGCTGAATTAATTTGCTTCTATTTTTTATAGTAACCTCTGTTAGGGTGCATAGCTCAGGTTAGTCCGCGTCAAACTAGCATGATTGGATGATTAAAGAGTTAGAATTTATTATCTGAAAATAACAAAATTCTACAAATAATAACTACAAATAATAGAATTCGTGGGATTTATCAGATATGCAATTGAATGCGTTGAATAATTTATCCGATATGACAATGCTACTTTAAATGGAATCTGTGGATATGTCAATGGCAATAGATCCACTGATGTTACGGTATGTTTTCAAATAAATTGCTTCGAGTGCATTTTATATAGCCACTTGGATATCTAGTATCTTAACTAATATTGATTTTATTAAATTTCGTAAGCTGAAATCCCATCAATATTTGTTTGAGTCTATTCTCCGGTTAAAAGATGACGGTAATCAGCAGGTACATATTTGTGTAAACGTTTATGAACGGTAATAATATTAGTAAAGCAATTTTTAATATTTTCGAGCAATGCTATAACAAATAACGATAAAGGAGGCTTTAAGAATCCATCTATAAAGATATCATACGCAAGATGAGAGAGGAGCAATAACGGTACCGTAGTATTCGGCGTATAAACGGTAGAGTATAAAGAGGTCAACAAAGGGAGGTCTTTATTACTTAGTAGACTTGTCTGGTAAGAATACTTATCGCTAGCTAGTAATTAATTACATCAAGGCGCCGTCTACTCAGCCTTATCAACGAAATTCGTCATCCCGAAATATTTATAAGAAGGTGATGAAGATAACTCTGCTACAAATCATTAATCAATCTAGTATACTTTAGATTTACAGTACGCTTGGATCTGCATATCAAATATTATTGGACTTAACTTCACTTACATAGGAATAAATTAAGCAATACTATTGGCATTTACGATGAAAAGGACCATCAGTCTCATCTTTCTATTAATATGGTTACCGTGTATATGGTTGGCTCCTCTCCCTAATGGTTGTCAACCTATGAAAATGTCTATGTGCAGAGAAATTTATAATCATACAAAATTTCCAAATAGGGCATATCACGAAAATCAAGATATTGCAAAATCAGAAATCGAACGTTACATACTTCTAGTGGACTACATCAAAGCAATTAATAGATCATGGTATGAAAAGTTACGTTTCTTTCTATGCACTCTTTATTTTCCAATATGTTCCGAGATGGCAAAGCCGGTGCCACCTTGTCAATCAGTCTGTGAGGATGCTCGCAATATAGCAGAGCCCATTATCAAAAGATTTAATAATCAAACTTGGCCAACTGCTTTAGCTTGTAACAAATTTCCAGTACATGATTTTGGTGTCTGTATCAAGCCGAGTTCAATTATTTCTGGTATATATTTTCTTCTGTTATTAAATAGTCTTAATTTTTTATTTGACTTACTTACCACAGTGGAATAGCGTTTTTTTAATAACGTTAATAATTTATATATGTACAGGTACATCAACACCACCCCCTATAAAAAGCCGAGAAGGTACGGTAGCTACTATGAACCCATCTGCATTTTATGTAAATAGTAGAATTGATCATATTAACATTTTAAATCACAGAGTCAATACAAGGCAATAACAACTTGTTTATGCAGCTAAATTAAGTAGAATTACATTGAAATATATCATGTCAATTAAAATTACTAGCCCATAACCTTTCAAGCTTATTTCCTTTTATAGTATTCTAAAAAGTAAATTGTAATCTGCTATTATTCCAGAATGTGAAACCACATGGTCAAGTTGGGGTAACTGTTCACGCGAGTGCAACGCAGGATATGCGAAGAGATACCGATTTATTCACATTGAGGGTTCATGCTCTAAAATTAACGAACTTAATCCTTGTCACCTTAAAGACTGTGGAATTAGTAAGTTTGATTTATAGCAAAAATGAGAGTTAACAGTCATAAGTGAGGACTGAAATCCTATAGATATAAAATGAGTTAATGATTAAAGATCTCATTATTGGTTTTTTTCCGCCTTTGTAGAATATTGCCTAAATAGATTTGATAAACCTAGTTTGTGGCAGTTTCGTAAGAGACGATACACATTTGGTAAGGGTACTGCATCTTCCATTTAAATGGAAGTCAATAATAATTGCTTTAGATATTATAGAAATATTTATGAGTTATAGCTTCATAACAAATTAATTCTATTAAAACGGCTCGATAATTTCATATAGGTATTCGTGCTCGTGTTATTTCAGTGGAACAATTCGATACCTCTGCTAAAGTTCTTGTAAGAATATCAGAGGTTTTATTTGCGAAAGCTCACATAAAGAAAGGATTTACCACATTACATATTAATTCTACGTGTATCGGTGCAAATTTGATAAGCACCAAAGATTATATAATTATGGGTCATATGGACGCAAACTATCCTCCTCACTTGGTATGACATGCAACTAATGCATATCATTATCATTAGTAATTTTGTATTGCAATCTTATTATATTAATTAATGCATAATATAATTAATCTCTCTTATACATAGACTATCAGCTTATCCGATAGTGCATTAGACGAATGGAAATCTAGGTGGCGTACTCATGTTCCAAACTGGGCTAGAAAAGTTTGGAGAAAGCACAAAGAATTGTATATTATAAATGATTACGTATCTACTTAATCCGCCAGGAACACCATAGGCAAAAGCTATACATTCCTTTTACCTCACCAATTGATGTTCACTAGTACAGTATAATTTGCACTTATAAATTTATTAGTGATTTTTATACAATAGCAATATCATGCTAATTTAGCTAAATTTACGGAATGACTCCGATTATGAATAGGAAGCAAATGATTCATGTCTAAAATCAAACTCTCGGTCGCTCTACGTACTTGATTGATTCTATGATATGAAAATTATAAGTGAAATAATTAATTATAGTTATTACGGCTTTTAATCGTATACTAATACAAAGTCCTTAGTGAGATTAAGCCAGCAAATTGGGAGAGCGTCTATACTATTTTTGTTGTGAAGTAAATTTAAAACAACTGAGCGTCTACGTTAATATTATAATCATCGACACACGCAGAATGATCTACGAACTAATCAAGTATAATAATTATTATTCTATTAGATCTTTCTTAAATCTGAAAACATCGTCAAATAGCTAATGTAGGTTTCTCACATATCAACGTCAGATTTAGGGAGGCCGTATTACGTTAAAAGATTCAATCTTTGGTTTAAAATGTGCTAGTAATAAACTCGACAGTTAGTATTTTATTTATGATGTTTTAAATTTGATTTTTTATTACACTATGTATTATTCTAATTTGAGATGATTGAGCCGCATAAAAAATTAGTAAGTAAATTCTACGTTGATTGCTTTGATCTTAAGCGTGGTTACACTATTAGATATTTTTTTAATCGATGAATGAATGATCAATAAATAAGTGTTTACAACTTTATTTTGTCGTTAAAATAAATAGCCGAATATTGAAAATTTATTTCCTGTATATAAAATAGGACAATTACTGAGATAAGGCAGTAAGATATAACACTTAGCCGGCCATTTTGAAGGGATTGTATATACGTAGCGTATAATATATACCTATCAAAATCCTATTGGTTACTGGATGATAGTGGGTAATATACTGTATATGCAGTACGTGGACTACCATACTTACATTATACTGCATGGGATTTACGTTATAGATAGTATAAAGAGCCAGAATATACGAGTAGTTAATCTAAATTGCGTGGAGATTGATTTTCTGTAAGCATTTCTTCATCGCTCACGCGTAATAACTCGCGTTTGTTGTAATATTTTTACTATTCACCATTGCTTTATTACCTAGTACGATATTCTAAAAAATGAATTAATAATAAAATAATATTTTAATTTCTCTCTCGTCACAATGCATTGGAACCATGATTAGTAATGGACTATTAAGGCGCTTCTGCTAGTACTCTAGTTTTGGTATACGTAGTCACGTATAGTATATCTATTTACTGTATACATTACTGTATAAATAGACAGCACAATACGACCATTGCGCAGCCATTGTAGTACACTGTATAGTTTAGAATTAGGTACCCGAATACATTAGTTTGACCAGTGTTAACTATATTGCAGACCGAGTTGCTAACACTAGTACTAATTAAAAATTCACTAGCAACCCAATAACTGTATTAGTGTATAGCTTCATAAGAGTTATATTAACCTTTCTGACGTTTACAGCTTAAATCTTGCGATCATGGATGTTTCGATGTTGGGATTCTCTAGTCAATTATAACCTTGATAGCATATTATGGTCGTGCTTCTATAATTTCACGATTACAGTATTCGCTTACTAGAGTTAACGGAACTTAATTTTAAATAAACAAACTATACAGTAATGCTCAAATCTTCCCTATGGAGTCCTACGACAAACTCAAGTTATTAGGCAACGGTAGTTTTAGCCAGGTCTTTCTAGCGCGCTCCCATATTACTCGAAGGTAAATTGTAAGATAATATAGTCCTGTTAATATTCAACATGGCATTCCATACTATTTTATTCATGATTACTTGTTATAACTGATCGTAAGTTACAAATTTGTACAGTTTAACATTACTGTAAAATAAATGATCCAAGGGTGAGCATATTCTATGGAACTTACCTTACCAGCAAATGGGTTATGAAGTTAGCGAATTCGTAATAATATCTATTATAATGAATCATTTCTTCTATGGAGGCTGTCGTTAAAAAATTAAACTAGTATATGTATAAAAAGTAGTGATGATTCGTAACCTAATTGCAAGCTAAGCATAGATAATACAAGATACGAGTATTTCTATTAAGGCAGAATTATTAAATTGTCCTAATGTCGTATAGCTTAGTATAGGAAAAAATCTCTCTGCTATTTCGTACTGTGTGTTTGCAAATTATTAAAATGAATTACCCCTTCCTCTCGATCTGTTATTAAAAGATTGGTTGCTATTAAAGAAGTACGATTGGATCAGAAGAGCAAGTATAGAACTGCAGAAACTATTAAAAGCGAAGCTAAGTAAGGCTTTCAAACGTAAACGGAAGGAATTTACAATATGCATCACGATAAAGTCAGATAGTTACCGCAGAACTAGGATTTTTGTAATATTGTCAAGCTTTCAAATATGATAGTCCATGAACTACTAAAAGAAAACCTAGTAGTCCATGGATAGTTATATTCTAATGTTGTATTAGGAAATTTCAAAGCTTTCCGTTTCTTAAAGAAGTATGCACTCATCAAATTTACTTGCAATTCATTAGCAAAAATTAAACTATGAATCCTCCGCTTTTCAACTATAAATGTTGCTATAATTTCTGACTTTGATGTATATTCATTTATAAACATATCGTTAAATATAATCAGAATATTGCTGTTTTCACTCAGTGTCAGATTTTTACGTTTCCTGTACTATCTACTACAGTTTAGAATCATGCTATAGCCCTATATAATTACATAATTTTGATCTATTGAAGGATACTGTCGAAAATGAAGCACCCACACGTAGTGACTTTTCAAGATTCGTTTTTCGGCGAAGGTGGTCAATTTTTATATATTGTACAGGTGAAGATATACACCGAATACGTTTGCAATTAAGTTATATGTAAAAGAAATAATAAATTACTCAATTAGCTAAATTTTTTCCATAGGATTATTACGAAGGTGGATCTTTATTTGATAAAGTCTGCGAAGCAAAAGAAGTACGTAGTAATTTCAAGTATAGAGCATACTGAACTAATTTCCTTGTTAGTGCGCTAAAATATACAAATATAACTCATGATAATACACTACTAAAATCATAAGTTAATGCTTATTGATATATGATAGAATGAAACCTATTTTGGAGAGTCACAGATTATGAAGGTAATGCAATATCAGGATTATGTTTACTTATTTATTATACAGAAATTTGAGCTCTATTCTCAGATCATGTGGCGTATAATACTCTACGCGTTAGATTTAAGTGGCATTAGAGTAGAAACTACATAATAGTATATAATGCTAACATTATTATTTTTATAGTGGTTTGTGCAACTGTTAATGGCAATTCAGTACCTACACACTATGAAAATATTGCATAGGTAGGTAGTAATAATGTGATGTGATTTATTAATTATTATAAGAAAAAAGTAAGTTAATTCGTTGCTCTTATTAATATAACGGCTGTACTAACGAAAGCGCTGATCATACTTAATCGTTTGTTAAATATTGGATAGAGATATCAAGAGTCCTAATGTGTTTTTAACCAAGAAACAATTAGTCAAATTAGGTAATAAAATATATTACATTGCTTTTTGTACTTGCCTGATTTCATTCAACTAGCTATGTAATAGACAGATTTGACATCTTATTGATGCAGGTGACTTTGGTGTATCCCGTATTATGGATAATACCTTTGATATGGCTCAATCTAAAGTCGGAACTCCTTGTTACTTAAGTCCAGAATTATGCCAAGACTTGCCATATAGTTCAAAAAGCGATATTTGGGTATTCTTTTTAAAATTAAAATACCACAGTCTTTCTTACTGCAGAATTTCATATCAACTCTACCCTAACACTCACAGTGTTGTTTTTAAATTAATTGCATATAGAAAGTAAATACACATGCATATGTAAATTGTTAAGATATATCTATTATTGCTATTGCATTAGTCCATGGGATGCCTGCTTTATGAACTGTGTGCCCTAAAACCAGCCTTTGATGCAACAAATTTAGTTACTCTATTTTATAAAATTGTCAAAACTGAATACAAGGTAAGAATAACTCCATACGTGTCCACTATATAATGTTACAACGATAAAGTCAGTTTAATAATGATATATTATACTAAAGTTGGTTTTGCTATATCTAAATTAAATTATTCATCACCTAACGTTATCCACTCCTTTTAGCCATTACCGCCACAATTCTCTAGCGATATAAATGAACTTATACGAATGGCACTAACGAAAAATGCTGACGAAAGGCCCAGGTAATTTCAAACTTTTGTTGATATATATATATACGTATATATCACGAAAGATATACCCTCAAAAATTCTAATTTAAAGTCTCATTACAGCCTGCATCTCACTATTCTCTCTGATATTGATGTAGTGCTGGCGCTTTATTAAGTACGGTATACGTCAAAGATAATCTTCAATTATTCATTTCGGAACAAGAAGCAGTTGCAAATCGGGCTGATACCAGGTATTATATCCATTGGATGTATAAGATTCGATTTTCTATAATTCTACCGGATATACGGTTACGCGTATGTCAACATTATAATAATTACGCAACTTCTTAATCATCATTAAAGTTACGTTACTTTAATCATCTCTATTTAATACGTAAAACATTAACTTTTAATCAAAAAATTTCTGCTATACGCTAGGCAAGAAAACTCTTCCGGTGGTAGCATTAAAATGGCCAAGAATAGCAGTTTACTATCACGATCGAGCAATGATGAATTGAAAGACCAGTCATTGAAATCAGAGAATGATTATTCCGATGACTTCGAATCTAGTGACAGTGGAGATACTCATAGTTGTGGGAAGGACTTTGAAAACAGAACTGCTGCTAACGACAACTCAACACATTCGTCATGCGGAGATTACTCTGATGATTTTGAGGATTATGAATCGGACGATGATCAGGTAAGCTGTCATAGTAATTATAGATTTTTATTATCCATGTTGAAACTTCTAAAATATATATTTTTGCATCGTCATTAGGTCATTTTAACCTCGGCAAAAGCTGCTAAAAATAAGGATCAAATTGAGGATTTGGTACAGGATAATGAAGGAAGTGAATGCAAGGCGCGAATAACAGAGTAATGACTATAACGTTAAATTGAAGTGTTTACTTTAATATTATTCTTTGTGCTTTCGCATAAGTATTTTGCAACACAAAATGAACACGGCAGGTGGATGAATTATTTGAAATTTTGTATCATTCATTTAGGCACTGTATCAATGAACTTGGAAGCGACCTGTATCGAAGAGTTCTTGAAGAGTGTAGTAAATCGTCGTCTGATCAAAACTTGAAGTAAGCTACTCTATTTTTTGGTATATTGTACTGATAACACCTCATAAATTGGACAGTCTTACTCTGCGTGTCAATTTGATATTTAACAGATGCATTTATTTTTATTTGCAGTGCTACATTCACAGTTTTGGCAGACGGTAATAATCAAGTAAGGGATACATTTTATCTCGTTAAAGAGTTGTTGATACACGATGAATCTAAAATGTCCAAGTCATCGTGATCCGATACGTTATTAATAAAACTAGGATAAAGATATTTTGTACAGCAACAGATGTATATTTTAAGATATAGCAAAAAGCTTCAGCAGTTTCGAATATTTCACATTACTAAATTATTAACGATGATATACTATGAAAGAACCTGATTTGTATAAAGCCTATTTAAGATCTATAGTACATTGGGTTGTATTGTAAGATAGCAATAATTGTTGGCTATCCGAAGCTTGAAAGAGCAAAGTATAGCCTATACAGTATATTAATTCATCTGTAAATAGTGGATTAACTTATCAATGAAAAATACTAAATGAGCTTGAACGTATTCTATTGATATTATATACGAGATTGAATATCTGGAACATATAAATTAACAGAGAATAAAAGCAAGCTTCGTATACGCATATACAAGTTATTTCGTGCGTGCGATATGTTGTAATATTCAGTAAATATTAACTGATTATACTGCCATGTCATTTCTTGCGTTCAAATAACGACATAATAACGCTCCGGTCAGCATTGTTGAGAAACTGTAATAGCTTTAGGTGATTCTCTCCATCTTGTAGTAGCTTTCTTACATTATCGGGGTTGGACTCTTGCTTATAAACCTCAAACATTTCCCTTAAGTTGTATCTTAGTTTATTTCGCATTTCGGTAACAGGAAAGTTGTTTATTTGCCGCAAAAGTTGCGTATATAAACGAAGGGGTGCCTTACTAGTCATCTGAGCGCTAATACATGAAGTAGCTTTGCTCTATTTCAGTAGATATATATGTTACTATACGGTGTTAAAGATTAATTGAAAAGGTATTGGGTTAGTCTTAACCTTAAGATACTGAAATATACGTACGAGGTCAATATTTTGTAGAGATCCAATATTGATCGGTTAGTAGTATAGCCAATTCCTCTCTGACTAAGATGATACGCGTTCGTGAAGGTGGTCTTTCCTTCACCACGAGTATTATTACACGTATAGTTTGATTCCAACGCTGAAACCTATTATAGTCGCAGATTTAAATTTGGCATCCTAATCTTGATCCAATAAAGCAAAATTGCAAAGAGGTATCTCTCAGTATTGCAGTAATCCAGAAAGATGGTGTTTCTTGCAGCTTGGATGTTATTGTACGTATGGAATGATTCCAATATTGAAGCTAATTCTAATCGGAGATTTGAATTTGACGTTGCAATTTCGATAGACTAAGAAGAGGCAGAGAAAAGATAACTACGCTGTACAGTATTACTATATTCGGAAAAGGTATCTATAATACAGTGATGAGATCCTTTAATCATAGCTATAAATCCTGAGCTTAGAATAACTTGAGTGGAGCTCTATGGCGGCAGACATTCGCCATATTATGTCAGAGAGCACAGTTCTAGCTCATTCTACAAGCAAATATCCTACCGTTGCAAACATGAAACGATTATCGCTGTCACTAGATTAGTTTTCTTTAGTAGTCGAGATTTACGATGGATAATTAAGAGATTAGCCAATTTTATAATTGCAATTAGTATAGCTTGGACATCGTTATTGATGCCAGCTCTTGTTGAAGATGTCTGGTCTCCACTCGTCGTTGCTATACTGCCTATAGTATACAGTCCAGTACAGTGCTATGCTATACAGTGTATAGTATGGTGGCAGTAGCATGATTGTGCGTACGGTCATCGACTCTTTCCAGGCTGCTGTCTGTATAGTAATCAGCTAAGACAGAAGTCCCTCTACTTATAGTAGTGCATATTCCAATTGGAGTGAGCAGAACATTTCATAAATTCAATTTCAAGACCCATGGAAATGGATTGAAATAAGAAACTCATCGGTTTAGTCATCCTAATTGCGGTACTATTATGAAATAGCTTACAGACAAAATGACGAATAGAAATAGAAAGGCAGTCGTGAATCAAAAGGATAAAAGTAATCATGCTTTGAGGTACAGAGGGAGCAGCACAACACCACAAGATGATGAAGATGATTCGGATGGAGAGAAAAGAATATGGGGCCTAAGCGTGCGTTTGATCATTCTATCAGCTTGCTTCGTTAGTGGTTTTGGTTTTATTATGCTCTACTTTAATGCTGCTAGTGAAATGAAAAATGTAACCGAAACCAATTACGCAGAACTTGTTAATAGCGAATTCAATCTACAAAATTATTCCTTTGCAACTGATCGAGTAAACATTAGGGATAATGCAAGCTTGCAGGAATTTACCAAGTACTTCGATTGTCAATTGTAAGCGAAACTTTGCAGTTCAGCTATGGCTACAAGTAAAGGAGATGATTTTGCTAAAATAATATTTTTATAATAATCTAGATGCAAAGTCCTTCATTTTAGGCCGATAATACTACTATACTTGAAGTGCACTATTTCACTTGTATTCATACGTAGAGTTCCCAAAATGCAGTACAGTACTCCAGTAGATGAACATGGCTACAAGTCGTAGAATATATTGCTAAACTAAAGTCTTGCTGCACGATATTACGATGTTTGCATATTAGCAACAGTGATAAACAAAGTCCTTATTAACATTGTATTGCAATAGGCTAAAGCTATTTCTATTTAAACTATTGATCATCTATGCATTCTTTAGACCAGTATTAATACGTGGTGTAGTTAATGAGTGGCCATCCATGAAATGGAATCGCGACTTTTTTAAAAGCCATTATGGCAATCAAAAAGTACCAGTTGTCAGTGTGGAGGTTAGTTTCATCAAATTATTCTACCCCTTTTACTTCAAGCGTGTTTTGTGCAACATTACTGAAGAGATTCGATATGTCTACTTGTGTATGTAGTAGTAGTATATACTGTACCTTGAGCATTTATAGTGCATTTATTTTAGATGTACGTACAGTATATTGGTACTAACACGCGTTTGGTAACAGCCTGGACAATTTCTGTAGTATTGCTGATCAACTAATTTTCAGTATTTACCGGTAGCTTGATGTATCCAATTTGTAAATTAGCTTAATTTGCATTATTAATCTTCGTTGGAACTAGGGTGCTATGATTAATGCTGAGGTCAAAACTATGACAATAGAAGAGTTTAGTCAGGTTGTACCAGATGGAAAGCCATCGAGATGGCATTATGTACAAGATGAATTATTTATCAACCGTCATGACAAGCTAAAAGCTGATATTGGAGAAGCTGTAAGTATAGCAATATTAATTTTCATCGTGTAAATACCTATAGTCTTTATATATATATATATACTGTATAACGTACATTACAGTAAATTATCAAAATTTAGTTAACCTCAAATTTTGTATTTCTAGTTCTTTAATGCTCATTTACGTAGAACATTGTATATCGATCTTGTATTTAGGATGATGACTAACGATACCATTCATAATTTTGCATATTTTATAATTTTAGATTTATTTCAAGGAAAATTTTTTTAAATTATTCCCAGAAGAGATACGTCCTTGGGATGCTATGCTGTTATGGGGTAGCGCACATTCTAGATCGCACTTGCATATTGGTGAGACGAACGATAATTATAATATATGAAATTTTATTATAATACGAGTATCACAAGAGATTGCATCTTTCCAATAAACAGATCCATATAATTGGACTGGTACAAATGCTGTATTACACGGTCGAAAACGTTGGAAGGTACAGTATTGCTATCATCAGAGTGACGTTATACATGAACAGTAGATTAAATACTTGTTGATAATTTTATTCTGAATTATAATTGTCGGAAATGTACTTAATCTTTTTTTGATAGCTTTTTCCCCCTGGACAAGACAACAAATTTTATATTACTCCCAATCAAATGTGTGGTTTTCCTTTGAATTGTTATAAATATAACAGGTAAATAAATTGAATTAACCGAGGCTGTGTAGTTTAGCGATTGAACACATATTAACTTCATGCTAAACTCGCCAAACCTACAAATCGTAAAATAATACATTGCATTTATTTTATATACAGTCCAATTGATAGCTTCAATATTGATGATGAAAAATATCCTCTATTTCGCAATGTTAATTACATTGAAATCGAGCAAAATGCAGGAGAATTACTGATTATACCACCTGGATGGTTCCATCAGGTACCAGCTTTAATCATCAGACCTTGCTCTGATAAAGAGTGCTTTAACTACAGCAGATACATGATAAACTGTGGAGTAAAGCTAATTTGATAAAGTTCTACTGAACAATATCTGTTATTGTGGGTAAGAACTATCTCATGGTCTGCCATTTTTTTTCCTTGAATGACAAAATTTACTATTAGGTTTATAATCCAGTTGAAACTATTGCAATCAGTAGTCAGATAATGAACAGCAAAAACTATAAGTAAGCATCTTTAACTCATTTAATTTCGTTGAGATTTGAATGATACTCTGTTCGCGGAATGTAATTGTGTGTAAACATTCTGGAAATTACTTATAGCATTATCTTGAAGGAAATTATTGCTGCTAATAAACTCATTTCCGATGCTTTCCCTGATGATATCGAATCATACTCTCCTAAAGAGAAGGTAAATTGATCTTTTATTGTAAAATCCGTTATTGAATAAATGTTTTAATTACGGAGATAGTAATAAACTGACAAATTTGGCATTCATTCTAGGTGCTCTTTATACTGGCCTTGCTACCAGACGAAGTCATTCAACGTGGTCGTATGATTACTGACCAAATTATTCAACAGTTTTACGGCAATCAGTGATGTTGCCATGCTATTTTAAAATTTTCAAGGACTAGTTCCTGCTTTGGACGCTTAAAATAACGTCATCAGAATAATAATTTTGCATCCTTATTTCTGCACTATGTAAATACCCGCTAAGTTAAAATTATTTATCTGCAATATTAGAGTCTGTGGAGTTGGACTCTCGTATAGCGAATAATTACAGTTGATGCTTGTCTGTATTTCCTCACGGTTACGTGAATGCTTAGAAATATGACAATTTACGCTATAAATTGGCTTGCAAAATTTAGTGTGCACTACTAATTTATTGACACTATAATAAGGAAAGTGCACTAAATATCATGCCGACTACATAGTACATGCGTACGTAGCTGCTCCATTTAATATTGTACTACGTGCTGATGTCATGCACTTTTGTCACAGGCATCAACTGCATTTGTCGCTGATGATCATCAGTAAGAGCTAATAAACTGCATTAAGTAATCGTGTAATGTCTTCCTATTAATTACTATTATATAAAGAAAGAAAAACTAATACTACCACATACCGCAGCGCTTTTTCACCTTTGATATATGACGGGATTCGCAGCTGTCACTTACTTTTAATCACTGACATGACATTGCTTGTCAATTATTTGGGAAAGGTATGATCATGTACACAATTAGGTCCTGCTAACGAAAAGAACAAATCTACAGATTTTGAGCAATAACTGCTAAAGATCCTAAAGGATCTGCAGTTAAGCTATGCGTATATAACCAAGTTGCAGTTTGAAGTCGTAGAATCTATACTATAGGGTAGAAAGTAGACTGGATTGCAAACTCTTGCATTCTATAGCTACCAGTTAAATATAGAGTACCGTAGGTATTTCAGTGGACAACATCTCTAGTTTATCTTTTAGTTGCAAATAACTTGTAAATAAACCTCGGTAGCCAAAACAAAGTTAACAACACCGGAGATGTAGATATTCACAAAAATGGCTTTTTAATATTTTGCAGTTCATCCATAAAATACAATTACAGTGGAAAGAAACGAAGCTTGCATCCTTTTTATGCTTCAGCCTCTTGACTCTGTAACCTTGCTTCGCGATTAGTTATCTTGATAGATAACTCGTCTGCTCGTTGGACAATCTTCTGACGTTTACGACTTGAAATGTTATGAGCGATTTCAGCTGCGTAACTTCGATTCGCCATTAGCAATACTTCTAATTCCTGCAATTGATCAAAATATCTGTATTACATCTATTCTTTACCCTAAAAAATTGTCCGTAGGGCATGATGTTTACCTCGACGTTGTGTATGACAAATTTTTTAAATCCGTCTGGCATTTGGTGTCTAGTTTTGGCGTTACTACCATAGCCAATGCTAGGCATCAAGTATTGACCTTTAAAGCGTCGCCTGACACGATTATCGATACCTTTCGGCTTTCTCCAGCTCGGCTAAAAGAATGAATATGTTAGTATTTCGCGTTAGAAAGAGTTAATAATTTTCTACAGATAGAATTAGTGATATCTCAGCATCATTTACTTTGACTTTAACATATCGATCAGATTGATGACGAATGAATCTTTTCGTCCTTTTCTTAACAATTTTTCGCTTATTTACTGGAGTGACCATTTTGTCTTTATTTTAAGTAAAAAATTGAAAAAAACATTGTCAACAAGTGTAAAATGGTTGTATCTATGATCTTTTATTGCTAAAATCTACCGATGGAGATTAGAAATCATGTAATATCGATGGATAGTTCAACATGTCGAAAGAACCTACCTGCAGACTTATGGCGATGGTGAAGAAGAAAGCGAGGAATGATGCGCTTGCGTATTATTGATACTCAGTATAGTACTGTACTGTACTGTTTGCATTGCTCTCGGTCTCGGTCCGGTCCGATATAGTCCTAACTCTGACATTCAGCCTCAGACTGACAGACGGTACTGTACTGGACTGTATGGCTGTACAATCAATTTGACAGTACTGTACACTGTAATGTGCTACTGAAGTAGTGTTCTATCAAGTGCCAATTTTCCATACTACAGTATAATAAGACTATGAAGAAAAAATGCCAGTATCAATTATTTACAGTTGCAATATTGTACTACTGTATACAGTAGCTGTATCATTCTTGACTGTCCAGTGTCCAATTGTCCACTTCCGAGCTGTCTGCCAGTCATCTCTGTCTGTAGTTATATATTCTGTTTCTCCATGGCCAAACTCTCGAAAAGAGATCTTTGATTAAATAAAGGACACTATTAACTACAGCCCTTTCCGTATTCTCAGGCAATTATTTTCTCCTTCAGTTAAGTACACTTACTACAGCCTTCTTGTTTGATTACTACGGAAGAATGAATCATAACATTAGTATATGACACTAGTTTAGCACATCACTGACATCTTTTCCATATCCACCTGTATACAGTATAGTAGAAAAAGATCGATCTACCTGATCTCGAACTAGTTATCCTCCACATTTTCTATGCAGTTCGAGATTTACACAAGTACTGCATGTGTACACTGGTGTAGGAGGTTCTATTAATCATGTGCTAAATCATGTATCTCCATGCTTTACTCCATTAATAGCTGTTTGGAATGAGCACAGTCTTGGTAGACTGTGCTCATAACAGTATGCGGTACAATATTGAACCCTAGCGGTGTCTTGACCTGTTTATAGTACGCTTCTGAACTGTGCAAAAATGTGTCACCCTTAACCGCTTATATCTATTTCGAGCCAGCGTGCAATATAGCCTACACTATCGTCAGGTGTGCTACAACTCATACTGTACCTGCAGATTTATTCATTCAACGGATCGAAACAGGAATCAATGAAGGCTTGAGGTTGTCCATCTAGAATAGTTTACTGGATCGAATCAAGTTAAGAAATGCTTCAACGATTGAAATCATCGCTGCCTTATCGGTCTAGTTTAAGGAATTTATATCAGTTTTATTTTACTACTAGCAATAATTGTAAATATGTTTCTACATGGAATCAGGGCTGTACTATCGGGTCAGCCTATCGCTGCAGTAGGTTAGGAGCGAGTATGGAAAGGATAGGCAATCTACCTATTGCAAAGGTGGTGCTGCAATGTTGTCGTTCAATTTGCAATCGCTATGATGATAGCGTTGATAGAATGAGCTTATCATTGGAGAAATTCAAGAATATCACATTGGAAGAATTAGAACTTGAATACGAAAGAATGTATGAGAAATTAAATTTAGATAATCAATTGACTCAAGTTGTGATTGTACATCCCAATATTAAATGGGGAAGGAATAGGGATACATTATCAACACCTCAACTTCGAGTGGCCGAGGCTGTAGCATTAATGGATACCCTAAAGGGTAAAGTTGTTGCTACAACAGTAGAATCGTTAAAAATAGAAGATAAAAAGACATTTTTTGGTAAAGGGAAAACTGGAGAATTATGCAATTTGATGAACAAGCTGAAGCAGAAACATCAAGTTACCGCTGTCTTCTTAAATACAACCCAGTTACAGGCTAATCAACGTCAAACCTTACAGAAATTATGGTCGCTACCTGTCTATGATCGATATGGGATTGTATTACAAATATTTAAGCGACATGCGCGTACTCAAGAAGCAAAAATACAAGTTGAATTAGCTTCATTAAAGTATTTAAGGTAAACGCTCCAATCGCTCATGGCTTAGCTCTATTGGCATATCAAATATACATCATAACAATCATAAAGTACAATTGTTGCAATACAGCAATACAGAATGTTAAGCTGTTCGGTATATACTGTAGATTGAATATATTATTAATAAACATAATAAGAAAATTCAATTGATGCAGTGATTAGAATGACTAGATTGTGGCTTTAGTAGATGTATAGGTGATATTATTTCAACATCTTTGCCATAAGGAGGACATTTCAAAGTGCTATACAAGGTGTTAAGTACTCGTACACATCACAATACTACACATGCTCAAGTACAAAACGCATATCAATCGTATATTTTCTCCTCTACTACGTATGCTTTAACTTAAATACTTAATCATTTACAATGACGCTATGCAATATAGCTATAACTAATCATACCCACTGAGTTATAGAGTCGAATAGGAAATATTGTACAGTAGAATTATTGTTAAAAGTTATTGCATATATTTTTATACTTAAATTACTGACGCGTATTAAAGTATTACTATAAATTTGCAAATTGATAAGAAACTCTGTATAAATTAGAATCAAAATAATTTCATTTTCAGATCGCAGCTATCCTTCACAGTTGAGGCGTATGATCTTGATCGAGGCCATCTTGGGCGTGCTGGTGAATCAGGTCAGGAAATAGGCCGAAGAGCACTGGAGTATAAATATAGGCAGTTATCGAGAAAGCTAAAGGATATTCGTCAAAAGAGGGCTACAGTGCGTTTAAAACGCCAACGAAATGAAATTCCTACTGTAGCAGTCCTAGGCTATACCAATGCAGGTTATTATCAGCTTATGGCATTCTGAATAAATAATATAAATTTTTAGACAGTACGAATGGCATTGTTAGCCTATTTTATTCTTGGTAAGTTTATTTACTTTATCCAATCGTGTGGGTATACTGATGTCATTAATTGATCATGTTCATATCCTATGTAACCGTATTTCTACTTCAACCAATGTCAAATATAGGAAAAACGACTTTGATAAAAGCCTTGACTGGTGAGAAGTCAATGATTCCAAAGGACAAACTATTTGCTACTCTAGATACTACGGTCTATTCTGGGCAATTAATATCTGGCTTTCAGATTCTTTATATTGATACAATTGGCTTCATTTCTGACCTGCCGCATGATTTATTAGAGTCTTTTTCTGCTACTTTGGAAGATGTCATCAACGCTGTAAGTAGCTGTCCAATACTCTATAACTGTATAGCGCTGCTACTTGATCTAAGTGTACTCTTAAACCAGCAATTTAAGGAATGTTTTTTCTCTTTGATAATATATTAATTCCATTTTCAAATGCTAGGATTTACTCCTTCATATTCGTGATATTAGTCATCCTGAAACTGAAAAGCAAAAAGCAAGTGTACTTAATGTTCTAAGAGATTTATACTTGCCGAGAACTGCCCTGGAGAATATGATTGAAGTTCATAACAAAATAGATTTAATGTACGAGACAAAATTAATTTTTTAAATCTTTACCCTTGTTTTTACCTATAATTGCCAGCGGTTTAGTTATTAAATAACGCTTTCATTTTCGTTATATATTGAACTCAATGAAACAGAGAAGACTATCAATCCAATCTTTCGACAGATGATCACAATGCCGTGGCAGTATCAGCTACAAAGAAAGAAAATTTCGAATTATTGAGTCAAAATATCGAAAATGGCTTAATGAAAACAACTGGCAAGCAATTTTACAAGTTACAAATCCCAAACGGTGGCCAACAGCTTAGGTAATAGTATTAGTAATATTTCATATGTGATGATTTAGAGTGTATATTATGACAGACAAAAATCACGAGTTTATGAGATTTCAATGATCTTTGATACTTTCCTTTTTCGCTTATGATAGTTGGCTATATCGAGAAGCAAATGTATCAGACCTGGTACCAAGCAAAAATGGAAAAAGCCTGATTGTAAAATGTATTATGAGTAATGGTGTATATAGAAAATTTTGTTCAAAGTTCGGCCAGTAATGATATAAAAAGGCGATATTAGTAGTATCGCTATTTATATTTACTACATCAAAGTGACGTAGCCAATATATTTTATTTATTTAAGCTATGATTTTTAATTTCTGTAGTGATACATATGACTAACTGATGAAAGAAGTTTCAAATTTACGCTATCATAAATATTTAAATAGGAGAATTTATACGAATAATGTGTACGTTTTATGTTATCCTTTCAGGAATACTACTGTAACTTTTATTTCAAACAAAATATTTTGTGATGTCAAAACTTGCTTTATTATAATTATATGCAGATCGATACTTCTGAATATATGCATTACCTTGATGCTTCAAATATATATATAATTTCTTATAAATACTACGTAATTAAAATAACTTTTTTTTTGAGTCAATCTTTGTTGTTTGAGTGCTGTTTATACGAAAAGATGTTGTTTGCATGATTTGTGATCCACATGTACAGTATTATTAGCCCTCGTAAATTAAAAGGCATGCCATAAATGTAAATTGCGCTGTGAAATGAAAGCATTACATACCGAAACCTCCACTGCAACCCGCTGTTATATAAAATAGTTATATTAACTCTTTATCGAACATTTTTGATGGTGACAAAAATCTTTTATAAATTTATATGTGGACTAAAACTTAACTACGATGTTATTCAACTATAAAGACTTGATCATTAATTTTACATTAAAAATCGTTATTTAAAAAATTTAGTATTCTATTTATGTTTTCTTGCCCTGTAGTTATTAAAATTGAATGTCACATAAAAGAGTAATATGCGTATTATGACAACTGTAACATTTTAATTCGACCCTATATGGGCATGGAGTAATCCTGTAGCACATTTTTAAGCTACGTGATTGGACTAGTAGTGCAATTTTTCAAATTGATATCAGTAAAATCTCATAAAAATCGCATTTAAATCCAAAAACCTGATGATAATTATGGTTCGCTATTTTTTATTATGTAGTGGATATTGACATGACAAAGTATTAGAATATTAAAGCAATATAATTAGTTAAGTCCATAAATTGTCTAACGAATAAAAATGAATTGATTCTCACAGTACATATGCAGCCTTCATAAAGTTTAAGCAAATGGCAATAGCGTTACATATACAGTAACGTACAATGACAGTATTGAAAAGACGTTATTTCGAATCTTTCCTGAAATTAAGATGGAAGCAAACTATAATTCTACAGTACCAAGTACATAAATATCTACCAGCTTATTAACCAATCATCGTTCTTACAGGTGTTGCGCATTTAGCGCAAAAATAATTATAATTATCAAGATAAAAGAACTCGCCAATCTGTAAATACAGCATCATAACCCTATTATTTACATATATTTTCATATTTTGCCTGTATATTGCAGGTCAATTTTAAAGTATGTCTATTTTATAATGTGAAAATTTGTGAGATATCAGCCGATATTCTCCCGGCCAACGTACCAATCAATCCAGAATAAGAAGCTAATGTCAAGCATCGTTTAACTTTTAAGTGGAACACCCTGGAAATGGACGGGACCTGTACGTATGGAGAGATTCGGTCCTTTTCTGAGATCATATTGTGGTCCTTGCAATTTGAAATAAATTCAATCAGCATTTGCGTATCAAAAAAAGCTAATTTAAAGAATAGGATCAATAAATTAGATTTTAATTAAACCTTTGGGTGTCTGCTTTTGAGAAGGAACGACAGAGGGACCGGCGTGAATATTTTGGGGTCCATTACAATTCTCAATACTAGGGCCGGCTACAATCACACGATCTTTCCTACAATTATATTAAAATTAAGATTGATTTCATAAATCATAATAACAATGATATTAGATGGTCAGTGTCCTATCTTACGATAGATTGTCTAGATTTGCAGATTTTCTAAATTCGGGTTGCGGGCCAACTGGAATAGAAGCTATTGCCGACTTGTATTGCACTTTATTTTTAGAGGCCACTAAAGCAATCATTTAAAGAAATACGATGCTATTAAGTAAAGACTACAAAAATTTTATATTTATTAGAATATATGTTAGATTTAGCAGAACAAACAAGTTATTATGGTAGGATGTGGTTCTAGTTCATTAACGAACAATTTACCAGGTACAGTAGGCGAAACTCTAGCAGATCTTTCTCTGGAAGCTTGATTACTTTGTCTGGGTGCTGGTTCTCTGGAAGCTAGATTAGATTGTTTGGGTGCTGTAGAAGGCACTGGCTGAGGAATTGGCATTCTTATAGCTTCAGTACTAGCACTGGTACTGCTTTCGGGTTGATTAAGGCTATGGTCAGGTCTGTTTCCTTTCAGTGTTTTTACTACTTTGGCTTGGGTAGTGCTTGTCTGTGGTGATCTGTTAATAAATTAACAATTCGTAAAAGATGGGCTAGCAGCATTTTATCAGATAGCACAACTCATTTAGAGTGCACCGTTACATTACGTTATTAACAGTCAGCTTATAATTTACTTAAAATAGCTTTTATAAAGACAATAATTAATATACGGAAAATAAAGAGAATTAGTAGGATAACTTACCTTGTAGCCGAAGATGTTGTTGTATTATTTCTATCTATACGACATTGATACATATTCATTAGATTTTAACAGAGTAATCACTAATATAAATTGCTTTCATTTTATTTATATCAATAATTTGCAGTTACGACGTATCCATGAAGCCTACTATTGAATAACAACACATACTATGGTAATACATAAATTATAGTATATTACCACGGTAAGCTTTTAATGCTGCTCTAGCCTTCTTTTCATCATAGCCCACCTAAATTTAATAGATAGCTTATTATTCCAACATAGTTTATCGTGAAGACTAACACTGGAATATTAATTTACTCATCAAATCAGATATGTATAATTCATATAATTTGAGGAGAACTTACGAATTTAATTGTTGATTCGATTATTTTTTCATCTATATCTTTAAATTCGCCTTGGAAAGTAACTGATACTGTAAATTAAAGGATACAGTTTTATAATTTAAGAACAATCTCTTTGCAAATGCGGCCAATATAGTTACATTGAATGAATTTAATACGCTTAATATGTGCATAATAAGACTTACAATTATCAGATGCTCTTTGCTCTTCGAGAACTTTCTCTTTAGCTTGCCTTTCTTTCCTACTTTTTTCTTCCGCTTCCTTTCGTGCATTTACTTGAGCAACCCTTTCGGCCCTCTTTGCTGACTCTGCCCTGTAACATTACCGTAGTTAGCATTAAATCGGATGAAATTCTCATAGAAATAGTTTTATACTATTATGATAATTTATAGTCTTAGTTTTAGATACACTAATACGAACAATGATAACTGAATCTGAATGTTATATATTAAAAATTTTTTACGGTATAGTTTAGAATAAAAATCTTGCATGAAATAAGCATTCCTTTACCGCCTTTGTTCTTCTCTCTTTCTTTCATCTATTAGATAATCAGTGTGAATATATGCATCAATTTTAGTATGTTTATGATCTTTACTATTTTGATTATTCAACAATATTAATCATGATATGGAAGGTGAGGAAGCACTAACTTTCTTGTTCTCGAAGTATTGTTGTTGCTTTCGTTTCATCATAGTTTGCCTAAAATACAATATATCAGCGTTATTGAATTATAATAACATAAGCTCGATCTGGACATGATATAAACTATGAGATTTACTTAATTTTCAAAAACGCAGAAATTTTGTAAATCTATCCTTCAGATACAACCCATAATATTATTCAGACTATTCATACTTACAGCGTCTAATATGCCAGTTATAACAGTGGAGTCGATTCCTCTAAACTCTTTCTGCAATTTTTGTAAAACTATCAAATTGTTCATAATGGAATTGTTAATGATTATAAAGTCAAATAGATTGTTAAGATGATACAAACAAGTACAAGTTACTTTACATACGTTCTGTTCGTCGTGCATCTTCCTTTTGTTTACGAGCACGTTCTTCTTTTTCCTTGCGCAATTTCTCTTCTGCTTCTCTCTTAGCACGTTGTTCTCTTTCTTTTCGTAAACGTTGTTCCTCCTCTTTTCTGTAAAATTTCGTCATATTTATGGTATATATCACGATAATACGACTGCATTTAACATGATAAATGAAATTGTATCGTCTCTGGAATGATATATCACCTCTTTCTTTCTTTACGCGCCTCGTCTGATTAATTTGAAAAATAGCAATAGCATCAGTTTCATGGATATCGATTGATTTTGCATTGTCATTACACTATACGCATACTTTCGTAGATATTAATTTCATGGTTTCAATTTTAGGAAAATATAAAATATAGACTAACCTTGTTGCTCTTTTAAAACAAATCTAGTATCCTGTTCATTAAAGTTGGCCTGTTATCCCACCATTAATTTACCAACGCAGTTGTGTTCAAGAGTAGTATAAAAAATAGATCTAAATTTAATTTTACGGCAAAGAAATGCTATCTAAAGCGTATAGAAGAATAAATCTGACGTACGCTGTTTAGAACGGTGACAACGACATTTTCGTCAACGTCCTTAAATTCACTTTTCATCAATCTTGTAACTAAGAAAATTGATATCGAGATTATGTTTCCTTTTCAAATACTAAAGTATTATTATACATATCAGAATAATCCTAACTTCGTGCTTTATCATCATCTGACAACGTAGCAACAGTCTCCCTTGACCCATGAAGCGTACTCTCATGTTGAGGAGTAACCTATGAATAAATAATATGTAATTAATATATTCTTAATTATAACTTTTAATAAACTGTTGCGTAAGCAGTTGACAAGGTACACAAGAATGTTTACTATAACAGAGTGATAACAAGTAACTAGCTTCTAAAGTGAGATGTCTACCATGGTTATACAAATAGCACACTTGACTAGAATTGATACAGCCGTACATTCAACATTCATAAGTAAGGCTTACGAGCAAGTAAAAATTTCAGAGAAAGTATCATGTTAATACTGTTATCTACAGATCAAAACTGATTCCATTTCACATTAAAGATTAGTTAATAATAAGTAAAAGGCAAAGAAGCTATTACATGCTTTGATCGAAATTCTAAAGCTGCAAGTTTATAGAGTCATAGCTATACATGTCACAGCTATAACTAGCTACGAGATGAAACTATTTGAAGCTGAGTATTAACAGCCATCGGCCAGAATTATCTTTACGGTCTACATACAGTATTATGACGCTATCATAGCGACTTTTAAGTTAGTAGTATGATAAGGGTAATTACATATATTATCTTTCCTGCGTATATGGACTCTTGACCATCATATCGGTGCTATTTAGCTAAATTGGTCGTGATGTTAAAGTTCATAGTAAATGTGATGCCAATAGATGATCATTATCAATTAAGGGTAACTGTTTCATCTTTCCTATGAATATGGACTTTTGATAATCATATCGGTGCTATTTAGCTAAATTGGTCGTGATGTTAAAGTTCATAGTAAATGTGGTGCCAAGAGATGATCATTATCAATTAAGGGTAACTGTTTAATCTTTCCTATGAATGTGGACTCTTTGACAATTTGAAATTATACGAGTATCATTTCTGTACTGGCAAAATGTCCCTTGTGCAATGATGACACAGTCAACGGTAAATTAAAGTACATTTTAATACGCATATAGAGTATTGAAGTAGTCTGTGATAAACTATCAATTAGGAATCTACTAAGTCTTTGCCACGTACAGTATACTGTACAATATAGGGACTCTTGACGATTTGAAATTATTGCAGTATTATTTTAGTATAGATCACCCAGTAGAATCCCGCCCCTGTCCTGATAATTAATTTTAGCGAATAACAAAGGTAAATACATTAGGACAATAAATTCGTATATAAATTATCGAAGTAAGATAGCGTTGCTATACTGGTTGTAATCCTAAAGTGAAGAGTACGAATGAATGTCAGTACCCGACCAACTATATAGCTAACAGTCAAGTAGCTACTATATCCTCCTACGTATATACAGTACAGACTTTGTCAATTTGAAATGATACTATTGCAATATAAATTGTGTCTGTGCTATTCAGTAAATGAGAAACATACTGTAAGTATACTTGGATATACGCGTATACTATCCAAGCAACACTGTTGTAGCGATGCTCAATTAGTCTATGTTATAATTTAATGCTATATTTCTACACCTTACCGATGTCGACCGCGATTGCGATGATGATAATGTAGTCATTTCAATCGTGTTGCTAGAGGTAGTTTGACTGGTCGACGGCGCTGGTTGTGTGGGCTTTGGTGGTGCAGCTGTCGGTGGCTGTGGAATAGTTGCCCGTGGCTGTGGAGTAGTTGCCCGTGGCTGTGAAGTAGTTGCCGGCGGCTGTGGAGTAGTTGCTGGTGGCCTTGGTGGTTGTGCTTGTGTTGCTGCTGCTCTAGGAAATTGAGAGGACTGTTGAGCAGTTTGAGACTGCGGATGAGATGATGGCACTTGAGGTCTTTGTCGCTGTTGTTGTTGCATTTGCATTTGGTATTGCATTGCTGCCTGTTGGTAGGCTTGAGGGCCGTAATAAGCAATTCTTGGATCCTGCCATGAAGTTGTCTTGGTTGAATGATCTATGAAAAAGCTGTCAAGAAATTGAAAGTTGGATTGGTCTCCAGTTCATTGATGGGTTACAAGTGACGTAACACGACTCGTATCCTTGGATAGACGAGTCACAGGAAAGTAAGAGCATTACTGGACGTATTCAATGGCGCATGATCTTTCATGGAAATACTTACTATTTTCCGGTGTTTCGATCGAATTTAGCCTCCCAACCAGGGGGTAAAGGTAAATTGGTGGCTATAATGGAGAAGAAAGCAAACAATTCAAGCGTCATCGATAGATAGCGATTGGTTACGCCAATTGAAACATACAGTGGGTTAGTCTATTCTAGTACAACCGAATATGAAGGAATATGGATTGGTTTGGTTGTTGTCAACTACAGCTTGACGATGGATATTACTGGGGATATGTTTATACACAGATGGGTAGAATATACAGTCTATTGGTGAGTCTATAAGTGACTTTTCAATCACTACTTTGATCAAAAGTCAATGATGGATCGTGTGGCCGAATGAATACTACAAGTTGGGCAGATGAAGAAGCATTTGCTAAACATGAAGCGATAACAAAACAACATCTTTTTCTACAGTTGGATTGATGAAAGGTTGAAGAATGTCACTTCTCAATTGGATGCCATTTCTCTTACCCATAATTTATGTTTGTATAAGATTTCAAGTGTGCAAATCGTCAATATTGAGGTAATTTTATTTAGGAGAGGATCAGCACTAATCTTCTACAGGAGTTGTCCAAGTAGTGGTCCACGAAATGGCAGCCAAGAGGTTGTTAGGAAGATTTTGGCTTGAACGGCGATCGAATCTCTGGTTGGATTGGGAGTCCAAAAAGCGTTTTACTTACAGTACACAGTGTACAGTGTCGTACTGTAGTCTGTGGTACTGTACATTGTACTGTACTGTACAACCGTACAGTACCATCAGAGAATGCACAATCGACGAGGACAGTACTGTATGTACAATACTGTACAGTACGCATACGCAGTATACTGTACAGTAGGTCAGGCTCAGTCATCATCTTACATCAGACAGACATTAGACAGACAGAATTGCTACAGTACAAAGTAGCCTTAATACTGTGTCAGAATATGTTGTGGACGAGCTAGTACCCACTCATCACCCAAACTTTATATGATCAGACTTAGAGTTCAGAAAATATCGACTATAACCTACTGTCGCTGTACTGTACACTCACTGATCCACGGTAAAACACTAGATCTACCAGAGTACCAGACCTGGATTCAGGTGCCTACTGTAACATTCTACATGCCCAATGGTATCATACACACCAGTTAGTCATGAAGAGGAAAAGAGTATAATACCATCACATTCGACCATCCATTTGACGGCCAGTCTTTCTCTATTGTCGAGCATTTCTTGACCAGCAAAAAGGGAGAAAAATTGCTTGGATTTGTCCAACATAATGCCTACCATGTTTACCAACGTGAGTGCTACTAACTTTCTTTCTTAGAATATATTCTTTTCATTTCATATTGCGTGAAAATTCACTGGGAAGCATATTTCTACATGGCTACTTGCATGAGAAATAGCAATTTCATTGATTCCTATCGGCTTGGTAAAGCGTAGTCCAGCCATTGTTATGTCGACCGACAACATCATTTCTTGCACTAAAACGACATGTCTTAATGACTACTTGGACTGGATGCTATCCAAATTTATTCACTGCTAACTCGCTTGAGTAACTTGTACATCCATAAGATTGCAGTTCTATCTCTTCTAGTTCAATACGAAGAGATATTAAGTCATTGTTGGATGTTTTGCATGGGGGTTATTCAATCATTCACTGTCTGCCCAACCGAGTTGATGTCCATTGAAAAATCACTCTTTCACTTCACTGATGACTTGGATTGGCCTTGGACTGGATACTATCCAAATTTATTCACTACTAACTCGCTTGAGTAACTTGTACATCCATAGGATTGCAGTTCTATCTCTTCTAGGTCAATACGAAGAGATATCAAGTCATCGTTGGATGTTTTGCAGGGGGATTATTCAATCATTCATTGTCTGCCCAACCGAGTTGATGACCATTGAAAAATCACTCTTTCACTTCACTGATTACTTGGACTGGATACTATCCAAATTTATTCACTGCTAACTCGCTTGAGTAACTTTTACATCCATAGGATTGCAGTTCTATCTCTTCTAGGCCAATACGAAGAGACATTAAGTCATCGTTGGATGTTTTGCAGGGGGGTTATTCAATCATTCACTGTCTGCCCAACCGAGTTGATGTCCATTGAAAAATCACTCTTTCTTTCACTCCACTGCATCATATCGTCATTGCAGTATCCAAACTGTGCTACGATCATTTGGCCTTATAGCATAGAAATTTTCCTTTTTAGTCATTTCATGCTGTCTAATCGTCTTGATAATACTATTCTGTCTATATCAATTGGAGATAGATTTACAGTCCGAGTAGAAGATGGAGAAGTGAAAAGAGGCACAAGTTCTGATATAGTACGGCAAGATAACTTGCCTGAATAGTCCTAGCCACTTCTTTTACACAATCGGTCGTAGCATTGACTCAAGCCTCTACAAAAATCCGTTAGTAACTCATAAAATCTTTTTTTTTCCTCCCTTCTCTACAATAGCATAGCAGTGTTGATGAATCAATGACTTATTCTTAGATCGGTTGAAGTAAATGCTGTGTAAGCCTTTCAAAATAGCCTAACCTGCTACGAATGCACAGTAATATTGCACTATTGCTCGATTGGAGTCGATGTATACGAGGCCTGTTCGTTATACTGTAATCGTATACTCTGTCATGGTTGGCATTGGATTATTAGAATGATCTATTATACAATTTATAGCTCGAAATGATTGATTGATGCCATTAAGTACTGATTTACGAGTTATCAAGCAATCCAAATACCATATTTTCCTTTAAATTGGAAAGTACTACTACGCGTCTATATACTCGTACAAATCGTTTAGTACTGACGAGCAATACCACACTACTACTTACTTCATTCTTGATTCAACACTAAATTGAACTGATTTATAGTTACCTCTAGCCTGATAGAACAACGGTAAGACGATTGTACATCATCGTCTTTAGCCCATAGAATCCTACACTACTTCAAAATTTCTTGTACAACAGTGTTAAATTGGATCAAAATTAGGGTATAATATTATTATTTATTCATTAAATGCTTCTGTCAAGTCTTCCATGGATATAACAACCTGGTGAAAGGGAAATAAAATACTAGAAATAGGGATGAGAATCAGAGAATGTATACGTTTCCCCACCAGTTACACTTGTCTAAAGCGAAAGGGCGAAAAGACTCACTTATAGCAACTAACGATTCCAATGAATCACTAGTGGATAGATGTGGATAGTAGTTTTATCCTATACAACTTGAACATACATTTCACAGTAAATTGCTTATGGTAAGATATATTCACATCTTAGGTTAGGCTATACAGTATGTTGTTGTAATCTTAAAAATGGCTTCCGACATTTCAAATATGCCATTATAAAATGTCCATAAACCTTACCTATCCGTTAGATATTGATGGAGAATATACTAATAAATATCTATGTAGATTCTAGACCATAATCTCACTAATAAGGATCAACTTTTGTGCAATTCATTGTAGCCTACACTACGACAGAAGGATTCATATCTGCAAATTTTCTGTTGCAAACTCGAGTATTATACCAATTTGTTTCAATAGTGCATCACATTGCTGCATGTCGATATAGAAAAGAGCAATCAACCATGTCTCTGCATAACAGAGCCCTTATAAATCTAGCTTACCTATGAATGTGTATAATGACTTTTAATCTTTTCAAAAATATACCCGCAAAATCGTAATAGTTGGAACTGTCTTTTTCTGCTACTTCTATGACACGAGCTATGTACTGAACTGTAAATTGAACTTGAACAAAATTGCCACTAAACTAATTTTTATTTTTTATCTCTGTTGAATATATCTTTATAGATCAATAACAACGTTTCTCAACCTAAAACATGGGGTAAGGCAAATTGATAAGTCCTTTTACTGTTAAATGACCTTGTTGTATTTCTGTAATTGTATGATTGTATCAGTAATATAAATTTGTTATTCACTTCGTCATTACAAGTTGTGATTTATTGTCAAGAAAATTTTAATAACAAAGAATCAATTTTTTGACAGAACTTAGCGTTTACGAATTACATCGCCAGCCTCAGGCGGCCATAGACGACGATAGCGAAGTAACCATTTCATTACGTAGCTTGCATAGCGAATTAATGTGCCCTATCTGTTTGGATATCTTAAAAAGCACTATGACTACGAAAGAGGTACCAAGTTGTTTTCATACTGTACATTTTTATTAATAGCTTAATGGCAAAATTATTTCGAATTTGAATTCTGATTCTCAACATACAATCTTACTGTCTTTTAATTCGAGACCAGCTTAACATATGCGCATATTTTTCTTATCACGCTTCTCGTGATCATAATTTAATCACCAGCCTTCAATGAAATCATAATTATCTACCAATTTCGGCTTAGAAACTATAATACTTACTACAGTGAAAAAAATGCCACAATTATTAGCTCGAGCTTTTTCCTACTTAACGATCCAATTGACAGGACAATAATATCTTGCGGTAGCTGTTACGTGTAGAAACAATCAAATTTGAATTTTAACATTCTATTCTCTTGTTCTCATCATCATTAGTGCCTACATAGGTTTTGTGCCGAATGCATTACGACAGCTCTACGCAGCGGGTAACAAAATAAGTCACTTCTCTTAATTGAAAGTATAGTAATTTATATTTGATTTCTGTAAAATCTTTAGCTGAGGCGCTTTCCTATTTATTCTACAAGCATATTGTGCGTCTGAAGACTAAAAATTCTGATAGCTAAACTACCTCTTAACAAATAAATGCTATCGTAATTAGTTCATACAATTCAACTAGTAATTTGCTTCCTCATGTTTATCAGTTATTTCATTACTGAATGAATAAATTTCATCTACCACAGAAATAAGGAATGTCCGACGTGTCGCAAAAAATTAGTATCCAGAAGATCACTTCGCCCAGATCCAAACTTTGATGCATTAATCTCAAAGGTTATGTTATCTTACATTTAGGTGTAAGTTAATGCCTACCCTTACTAATTATTCTATTCGTTAATACAACAGATTTATCCCAATCGAGAGGAATATGAAGCCCAACAAGTATAAATTTTATTTACTATCTCGTAGTAATTTTCTCAGAATTTAAAGTTGAAATACTTAAGATTGGATAATAATTTTAGGAAAAGGTGCTAGCAAGGTTAAACAAACACCATAGTCAACATGCTTTACAATCTAGTTTTGAGGAAGGAGTGCGAATGCAGGCTACGAATCGGTCTCATTCTCAACGGTCATCGGTATGTTATAATTGTCAGGATTGATATTTTGCTACGCCCGAATACGTATATTTAGACAGCTAAAAGTCTCGTCTTTTATTAACCGTAATGATCAACAGAATATATCATCAGCCGACGAATCAGGTAAACAAAATTTTACCACTCAAATTACTGCTTGAGCTTAAAAATAATCACATGGTGTGTGCAACTTGTCTTTTTTCACTTTCATTAGCTCCGGTACCTAAGCGAATAAAAACACAGGATACTAGAGCGAATCAAGAGGGTAGTAATTATGCTAATAACAGGAATAATAACGATGCAGGTATAATTTTACTTTAGTAGTAAAATATCTCAAAATAATGCTTATAAATCTGCAATGGTATTTAATATTTACACTTCTCTTTGTCGTATTATAATTAACAGATTCTGTGAATCATGACGCATCTCCGAAGGCAGTAGATACAGATTCTGATACGGTTGAATATACTGAATCATCCAGCGTAAGATTTTAAAATTATCTACTATATTGTTAGATCTAACTGCAAGAATTACATTGTATTCAAGAATTCTTTATGCACAGGAAATTGAATTAATGTTCAAACCTCATCCGCAAGAATTAGACAAGACAAACTATTCGGATAACCCACTACGTGTTGCTGTGCGATATATCAAAACCACAGCTAATGCTACGGGTAAGTTTCTACACATTTATGTTTATGCAGTATTCTACTACATGAGATGAAAAGTAATTGTAGTAATAATGTTGAATATCGAATTGTTTTAATCATATCATAATACCATACCATATTTCAAACCTGGCATTTATTGTTTTTAGTGGAGCATTTAGCTAAATATCTTGCCATTAGAATGTCTCTTGAATCGCCTCAAACTGGTTAGCTTTTATATAGCTGCTTTTAGTTGTTCTTTTATACGTTCAGAAAAGGTACATTTATAGAATAAATGGACACTATTTTTGTATTAGACAATCCAACAAAGTCAGCCAATCATAAACAAAGCTCCGACACCCTATACAAGATTTATATTGCTACGACAGAAGGATATAAGGTATGGCTTAAATTACTGTTTTAAATAAGCTATCAATTATAGTTTACAAATCAATGTCTTTTTGATTTCAACGCCAGCTATTACAACTTTCCATGACGTTGGATAATATCAACGAAACGGTAATTTAATATCTCGTAAATTTTACCATTTCCTTATTATGCCAAGCAGTTCCTAATTTCTGTTCTGTATACCACTCCTAACTTTAGTATTGGAAAGTCAACAAACCTCTGGAGCTATATTACTCTTCGGAACGAAAATCTTGAATATCTATGCGTTATCACTTGACGCTTGGATAATGGCTTACAGTTAAAAAAGTTGTACTATTGTTAGTAATGATACATCTAAGAGCTTGTACTAATCACTTGTATCTAGGTTAATAATCTTTTGGCCTAGGTGTTTCATATAAATTAATAATTTAATTGAAGGTTATTAGTGAGATTAAAGTAACCATGATCTATGTAATGATTCTATAATGACCTGCATTATGCCTAGTCATTGGAAGCATTTCCAAAAATAATTATCAATACTCAATTTAATTGTAAAGTATTTGAAGATACTGACTTTTCTATAATATTACATAAACGTGTACATACAAATTTAAAACGACAGATATCTTCTTAAATAAACGATATTTCTATTACTAACGGGCTTGGTATGATTAAAATCATGATAAATCTATCTTGTTAATGATTCATAACGGCATGCGTACTACTAGTATGAAGTATCTTAAGAGTAACACGAAACATTTTCTGAATCCATATTTTGGAAGAAAAGTATAAGGTAACAACAATATTAATTTTCATTAGAGTGAAATTTGCTGTTTGTCTATAATATGCAGTTAGTATACCGTAAATAAATTTAATACGTGTATTTTATTCATAAAATTTAGTAATGATTTACTTATTAAACTATTGCGCTACTATACTGTATATGCGCTAGCGTAGATACTAGTTTAAAGATCCTTATAACAATTCCATAGTTTGGGTAAGCGGTTACTTTTATCATGACAAATCAGAAATTAGATACTGTACAATCAAAGCAAGCTGACAAATCCCAGAATGGTGTTTAGGATTTCAGTAATTTTGTATTATATAAGATCTTGATCAGCATTTTACCCTTACAGTTGATATTGGTAATAAAAACGGAGGTAAAAAGTTATCAATAGCACCTACAGATACAAGGATTTTATATATTCTAAGACATAATACATGTACGTTAACCAAAATAGAATTTTCGATCGATGTAATATACTGTAGTATGATGGAAAAGTTTCTTATATTTCAGTTCAAATTTCTTATTGATACAGCAATGAAATTCTAGATTAGAGTAGTAATATGTAGTCAATTTCGTATGCTTAATAAACACGAAAATTAAAACGAGATAATGTATTTAAATTCTTTTCTATTATACTATTAGACTGATCTAGATCTTATAAATACAGATAATTGCAAAATAATTTCCTATAAAATGTTGTTAGGACTACCGTAATAAAATACGTAATCGGACATCCAGTTTGAGCTATGGACAATTCCGATAGTTCACCAGTCTTATTAGTCGGTTTTAAACTTGATTTTATTCCAGGATTGATATATCCATTCTGCTCATTTTTAATTATTATTCAAAATATATTGTATAATCAAAGATTATTTATTTCCATTTTCTTTTTTAAAGCTTATAATCTATAATCTGTAGCCAGCCGTTCAATCATTTATGATACTACAGCATGAAGTAATTTCTGCTTATACTATAATTTGATTCGATGCGTAGAAGTTGCAACAAATTATCGACTAAGTATTAGGTATAAGTAGATGCAATTATAGACTGATTTATTCATGCTGATAGATTAATGCAAAGATTTAATCCTTTAAATTGTTATCAAATATAACCTATGAATAACGTATATTACACTTTATACGCTGTTATATGACGATAGTGGTTAAATTACAGATTGTTCAGATCTCTCCTCGTATATTTACAATTAGATGGTTAAGAATCGTTTATCAGGTCAAGCCCTATGGTTATAAGATAATAATTGTTAAGCATTACCTTTAGATTTGAAATAAATCATAATTATAGAAATCGTGAAATGATTTGCTATACCTGGCTATTGATTTCAGACCACTTTAAAATTATTATCTTAAGGTAAAATATTGGATAGTATCGAATGATGCTCCAGTTACATTTTTGATTGCTTCATAAATTGAAGCATCGCCATTAAGAAAATGCTAAGGTAACTGAGTGAGATTAGGACTGCATCGCATATTCTTATTTAAATCAGTATTGATGAAGGTTTAATGATGAAAATTTTAATCTATAAAACTGATCGTGTCGAAATATTGAATCTATTTTTATCATTAAAATGTTACCAGATTTTTATTTTCCTGGCATTGTCTTCAGAACGAATTTTAATAGATAGGTAATAATTAGTCACACAATCAATAAAACCAAAAAGATGCAATACAACACTTGAGTTCAAGCATTTTTGTTATTACAATAAATACAAGTTATAATGAGAAAGCGAGTTTTTCCAATAAAATTTGTTATATATTAATCAATCTAAATAGAATTCAATAATAATTAAGGATCAACAGAAGATTCAATAGAACTTTTCCAATAAATACAGTACAATAAATACATAATCATATAAAAAATTTAAGTCTATTCATGAATCATTGTCTAACTAGTCCATAGAGCTTTTAATTTGAAATGTTATAGTATAGATTAAATGTAATTAGCATCAGTGCATTAAATTAGTAAATACAGCTATAAATAGCAAGTTACGTTAAATAAAATCGCTATTGTTAGATCCTACTATTGAGCCGCAGATCAAAGTAACAAGCATCCTAGACTCAAGCTAGAGCCAATAAGTTAGGAGAGAGCCATTAGCGTTACATTCTATATTTATATCATTTATAGAGTCAGAAATTATAACAAAATAGTAAAATCTAGTTACCCAATATGAACAATTTTATATTAATTTACAATAGAAATCTCAAGATTATCATATTTAGCGAATTATGATGTACTCAGATTTAGTAACGGTTAAGAATGAAGGTAGGTACACTAATCAAGTAATTTCATTCATATCGTGATCTAAGTAGCATCACCACTAAAATACCTTAAGTTAAATACAGTAATAATATTTGAATCATGATTTAACATATTAATTTCTTGTAGAATTTGATGAAATAGCTAATAATTCACTATTACACCGAATATTGCAAATTGTAGTTTGTGATGAAGTTACTGTACTGTATAATTTGTTCTATTTTACAAAAATATTAAAGTATTTACAATAATCGAAAAATTAAAAAATTAAAATAGAAATACTCTCTAGACAGTACTCTACATTGAAATCAAAAATTTTTAAATTTTGCAAGTATGGGATAATCTTAAGATACATCCATACAAATAATATAAACAAGTTCTATACAGCTAAAGGTAACTTTGTCATTTGTACAATCAAAAGACAGGAAATGAAAATGGCTGTCAACGTACAATGAAACAAATCTTGAGCTATACGTCTGCAGCATTTTAATCAGTAGAAGGGCAACAAAGAGTAAAACATTAAGCATCCATTTATTTTAAAACAAGGAAAAGAAAATGTCATTCATACTGTAAATACTGCGAATAAGGATTGTGAGTAAATTTTTTCATTTCTTCATACAAAGAGCAATCCTACGACAGGCTTCTGAATCTATCGCTCGTGGAAAGAACAATATTTCGTTGTTCGTTAAGTAAAAAGCTTTAAAATTTGTCAGATCCATGTTAGACATGCCATTCCTTCTCTCGATTATATTGTCTTTACTAAATTCTTTCAATGAATCTATAAACATGATGGCAGATCCTGGAAACTAATGGAAAATTAAATATCTATATTAATCAATATTGCTTCGAAACAAAGGTAATTAAAAGTCAAGGGTATCAAAATATACAAATTTCGCTTAAGGTCTTATAACTATTTCTTATGAGACATAACAACGAGCAACGAGTCAATACACGTTATTGTTATAAAGTGAAAGTCAAAATCTACAAAATTGATGTGATACCTCGTTCATACCACTGGACTTTATCGTGCTATCAGTTAGATCAACAATAAAGTAACGACGATGTAGTGCGCGTTGAAGGATGTGATGATATAAATTCTTCAGTTGCTGGTCCTGCAAGCAAATCAATGTAAAATTATCGTGAGAACTAAAATTAATATTAGAAAATCAAAAAATTAATTTGTTATGTCTTACAATTTGCATGCTATCTGCGTTGATAACATCGGAGAACTTAACGACATCAACGTTAGAATCAGAACTCGTGTTGTTTAAAATTCGAAGATCATCGATACCTAAATCATACATAATCCAATGCATAGGAAATAGTATGAGTAAATAATGGAAAATATGTCTAATATAATAAATTTATCAATAGATGATTGGTAACATTTACATTTAAATTTGGGCAACCGTTAACTTACTAAAGCAAAAGAACATAACAATATAGCTATGCTTCATGGGATCAAAATCTAAATTCTTGGTAAAGAAGTTAGAAACTTGATTCCAAGTTGCCTCTTGATCTTTACCAGATACGTCAAAAGTAATCAAACGTTCAGTAGATTTAAAGTAATTTACAAAATTCTTTACGCATCCTTGATACAGTGCTAGTCGACGTTGTGTTTTACTCATATCAGCTTCATCACTTTGTGATAACGCTACTGATGTAGCACCCTTTGCGCGGTTATCTCTGGTCTTAATGGCATTTTGAGTTATATTTAATGAGATACCGCAAACAATCGGCCACTATGATCAAGTAAATGAAAGCAAAACTTAGATAAAATTGATTATCATATATATCGATATTAAAAAATATTCTCCACTATTAAAGCTTATATTTAGATAACTTTTATCAATGCTATTCTTGTATCCTACTTGTTTTTCGAATTCTTCCATTTCTTGTCGGCAATCTTTAACAAATTCTTGATGACGCAATAGAAATCTCATGTTGGGAATAACGTCAACGAGGAAGCAATCACTACTTGTTAGTAAACTTTCAATTTCTCGAATAATAAGTGAAAAGACCCAACTTAACGTAATATGTTTGGGTTCTGTGCGAATGATTTGCATAATATCGTTGATATCGTCTAAAGATACGACATTGGCTAATTTTCTAGGCAAAGATTTAATAAGTAACTCTTCCGCGGAAATGAGTTTAAAACGAAATACAGATATAATATCATGGACAATTCGACCCTTACAAGATCCTGGACCGCCTAAGTTAAAAAATGTGTTTGAAGAAAGCGTTCATTTGTGATAAGTATACTAGTATAAAATTCAATTGCTAATTTAAAAGTTACTTAGCAGAAATTGCTTATGATTCAGGATATAAAAAGTCATTTTAAAAGCTGCTTTCATAAAATGGACATTAACTTAAATAATTTATTGTTGAATCTGTCGAGTCGAAAAAAATGATATGTCGATAAGATACGTACATTAAAAATAAACACTTTCTTACAGGTTGACTGATAACTCGCTAAAATAAATGTATTTTTACATGGGACTTATACGGGTCTATCTGCACACCTAGCTATGTATTGTTGGTAACTTCCAGCTCAGAGTTGTCATTACTTAATAGATTAGTATCGGATCAAAGGAGACAGCCTACTATGATGGCTACAGTATTGATGATGTAAGTTCTTCCTTTCTGCAATACGTTGTCTTAAGTAAAATACTGTGATAGTTAATTTGCTTTCCTAAATTAATTATGGAGCAAAACTTCGCAACTATGATATATTTAGCTAACTTTTCCAAAATCAAATAATAAACTACAACGGTAGCCACTACTATATATGTCAGCACAGGTCAACAGTAGTCATAGTATGGCAATAGCATCAAATCTTCTGAAAATCTTCCCAAAGGAAATGTACAACCTAAGTAACACTAGCAGGATTAGTAGGTTGTACATTTACAGAATCTACCCAGCAGCCTGTTAAGAACGAACTCATTGGTTACAGTTATTAACTTAGATATGTAACAGTATGATACTACGGCTTAGTAGCGCTTAGTAGCATAATTGTAAATTACTTTATTAAATTGAAGCAAAGTATCAAGAGCTGGAAATCTAGTTAACACTGTATGGTGTGTGGGTTTAGTTGGTGTTTAATATAAAATTCTAAAATACAAACAAAGTAATAGCAAACAATAATCTACTAAACAGATGTCATAGCTGGACTTTAAGTAATAGGACTAAAAAATTTATAATAATCAGTAAATGAAAATTAATTAAGCTACGTACGCCCATAGTTTTAATTCACAAGAAGTTGAACGAGCGAAAATTAGATAAAGTAGGAACAGCTTATAAAAGTAAGCTGAACATTCGAGTGTGAGTGAGTACAATTTATACCCAAATCTTTATAAAATATTGTTACTTTACTAATCTTCTATTGGAAAATCTACAGTTACAAACAGTATTTATCGCACGATACTAAAATCTATCACTTCTGCCATTTCGCATTGTGTCAATTCTATTTGGAAGCCATAACGATGGAAACATCATTGCTATGATATACACTTAACCAAAAACAAATAAATGATGCTCGGTAAGTAAATTATTAGCTTTCGACTACAGCAAACATTACGTCATTGTTGGCTCATTTAGGGTTATCATTCTACGGCATTAATACAGTATACTAAAGATAAATTGCATAATTTGCTTGCAAATTTACAATCTGAATGATCATAACGCTAAAAGTAAAGATAATAATGTATATAGAAACGATTTCCAAATTTTCTACTTCTAATTTAGTCTAATAATAGCGATAAGGTTGGCTGATTAATTAATTAATTAGTTTGTCCAATGAAAGAGTTGTGTTAAATACTCTAATTAAGGTATTGATGAATTCATTTAAAGATCAAAGCTTGATTCTTAAAAACCTCAGTAAAATTGGCAAAACGTAAAAAAGCTAAATTAAGACGCAAAGGAAGGAAAGGAAATCTGGTCAAAGCAATATCATTTAATAATTGTCAAATAACAATGTTGGTAACGAAGTATAAAATTAAAACTTTGATCTTTTACGTATCATCGATGTCAGGCTACTGTCTCTATTACTAAGGGCATATCCGCGTATAGGAATTGATGATTGGTAAGACAAAATTTAAAATTGCTTGCGTCTGGGATTTTACATTAAGTAAATTTCTCCTTAAGACTATGATGCCTAGAAAGAGCAATGTATTGTTTGTTGCACTATAAAATAAATTATATCCGTTTCGTTTGCTGCATATTAAATAAACTGGTACTTGGATTTAAAAGGAAGCCATTATTATAGTTGAAAAATAAGCGGAATAACAAAACGATGATAATAACAGGCCAATGTGTTATTTAATTTAAGTAAACTATTTCATCAGTATATTCATTGAAGATTTTTCACTATCTTTACAGATAGTGTACGTTATATGATGTATTAATAAGATATCTTTAATGGTTTAAGATAGGTCATCTCTTCTATATGATTCATGATTCAACTTAGATTGTAGCATGAATGGTAGACATATTATCTTTCTCGGATGAGTATTCATTAAGAAGTATCTCCAAAGACAGTTTTGATCAAGTCAAATACCTTTTCAGTTATGCCATATTAATCTATCTTTATCCTATAATATTACTGGACGACACTGAAACTCCTTTAGCTTAACTTAATTTAAAGGTTACGTTTACTGTACATTGGCCAAGCTACTATCTTACTCTTCTTCTTGATAAAAAGGACGAAATAATATAATTGGTTCAAGAGTAAATATCACTCAATGAAGATATTGTTTCAAATGGATAAGCAATGAATTTGTCGAAGTTGGTAAGATTTCTATATTTTGATTAGCAATTTTCAACATGTACTCATTTTTTTTACTGACGAATGGATTTAGTAGGTGCATAAAAATGATTATGAATAATTTTATATGAAGGTATCGTATAAGTAATAGTGCTGTTAATTAAGTGAATAATAGCACTATAAAAATAGCATTATTAAAAATTAAAAAACTAACACAGTCTAGCTTATTAAGTTACAGAAACATTGTTACTCTTATGCTTATTTTTGAAACCAATATTTTAATTTTATGCCAAGAATTGAAGTCTTTCTGTTTTGAAATTTTCTTATAAATATGTAGTCAATGATACTGTAGGTAACTTTTCCTGCATAGTATGAAAGTGATAAGGTGCGCACAGACTTGTATATTGGCATCTAGTTTTATAATTTAATAGCTCAAAATGCGCTAAGCGTGTACTTGCTGTCTTAAGATTTCTTTTTAGCATTATTGATGATGCATATCTTTCATTTAAACTAAGATCTTTGTCTGTAGTCATGCCTATACAATGCACACATGGAAAAATCTTTCTATTTATTGTTATTACATGAAACTATGATGATATAGAAAAGGAGAATTAATAAATTTACATCCTCTTCCTTGTATGAAATTTTACCTAAGTGGATCATATCTATTTTTTTCTATACTCGTATTGTATTGAAAAACATGTCTCATCACTACCTGCAATGATGTAGTCGACGTTAGGCCGTTATACTAGTTTACCATCTCTAATTCGTACGATATAGGATAATTGAAATTATCAACGTGTTGCAATTAGAGAAGATGGTAATCAGATTAATGATGATTTGTCACTTAATGAAACTTATCCATCAACGAAAATGAAGCAGTATAGAAGATGGTAATCAGATTAATGATGATTTATCACTTAATGAAACTTGTCTTTCAAGTAGAGAAACTTATCCATTAACGAAAATGAAGCAGTATAGCGTCTTCAGCATAATAAATTAATCAACAGGAGAGAAATTGAAGACAATATGGGATGTCAATTTGAACTTACCGAATAGGAAAAATATCTTGGCTTTCTGTGACCTTATCTGGATATTTTTTCCAATGGTAACTTGAGCAGTTTTCAGCACTTGATGAGTAACTGATGGTGAAGTAGGAAAACTAGAGCTACAACCCATAGTAATTTTTCGTTTCAATTTACCAACTGTGTCGATTTTATAAGCCCAAACTGAACTACAAATCTTGTATCATAAAATGTAACGCTGCGACCAAATTCTATCTCTTCACAAGGTGATGTAAACTACAGTCCAATGCTTTTCTAATTTTATCTAGTTATTAATGATAAAGCAAGCTGTTGATGTAGATAGCGTGTGCAATAATTTAGACAAGTTCAATCTTTTTCCTATTACTCCTGTTCAAGATGAAGGCAAATTAAAGTCTTTTTATATCGTTGTTGTCATATTCTGTTAACATTTACCAATGGAGTACAAGAGGAATTACAAGGTATCTCGCACTATCAAAAAGCTGCGCATGGATTATAAAGTTGAATCCTTAAGCAGTTCTCAAAGTAATCATCAATGATGTATTCAGTAGAAGATATCCAGCAAAGTTGAATTAAGGCTGTTTTGTCTTGTATTACCAGTTGACCACTTTGTTACTTCTCTTTATAACACTGGGATAGTTGGAGAAAGAAAGAGCGAAGCAAAATTTCATACAAAAATTCCAAAGATCACTGTAACTTTTATCTGATTAGTCTGTGATCACGGTGATCAATCATTGCCGATCAAGGCTTGCCTTTTTCCACAACTAAGCTTTCAATGGATAACTAATGAAATAGCACTTTCTTGCTGATGAAATTAAGACCATTCCGAGATAATCTATCAACGACAAAATTACAAAGAAATTGAAAAAATTAGCCCCACATTAGTCACTATCCAGTTGCATGAATCCCCCCCCCCCCCCCAAAAAAAAAATAGCAGCCATGTTTTCTTTTTTGCATGTTAGCCACAGTGAATGAAAGATTTAATGGCGAGTCAAGATTTAGTTACTGCTAATGAGTTTACTCGTATTGACTCATCATACTAACTTTCAATCTTAATTTAAATGGAGTATAAAGGATGAAGACGTACAGAATGGACTCGTATTGACTTACGACACTAACTTTAAATCGAGATTTAAAGGATTATAAAAGATGAAGACGTACAGAATAGATTGTTGATGAGATACGCGTAAATGAAGATAGTTGAAGAAAGGCAAAGGTTAACCGAATGTTGAATCATCGATAATTTAGTGCAATCATTTTAAGTTCTGCCATCAGCTCTTTATCCTGATTTAAACTACGATCATGAAATACGTATGGACTGGAATAAACTATTGACTTATGCCGCCACTAATTTTAAAGTTCAATTTAAAGCATCATAAAAGGATGAATACATACAGAATCGATACAAATTAAGATAGTTGAAGAAAGCTAAAGGTTAAGTGAACGACTGAATCATCGATGATTTAGCCGATCAATGTTGGTGCTAACGTTAGATCGACTCTTTATCCTAAATCAAATTTCTACCATGAAATGTGTACGTATGGTAAGGAATAAGTATTGACTTATGGCACTAACTTTCAATTTCAAGCATCATAGAGGATAAATGCATACAGAATAGATAGAAATGAAGATAGTTGAAGAAAGGCAAAGGCTAACCGAATGTTGAGTCATGGATGAGTTAGTGGATCAATTTGGATGCTGCTACTGACTTTCTATCCTGACTTCCAACTACTGTACTACCATGAAATAAGCACGGAAAGGAATCAGTATTGACTTATGGCACTAATTATAAAGGATGGATACATGCAGAATAAATTTCAATGAAGATAGGTCAAGAAAGACTGAAAGGTTAACTGAATCATTGATGACTTGGTGGAGCAATTTTGGTGCTGCCACTGACTTTTTGGATTCTAAATCAAACCACAGTACTAACATGAATGACTTTTGGAAAGGAATCAGACTGAAAAGATCGTTTAACACTACTTCCATTCAACTCTTGTTCAACTTGATATGAATATCGTAATGTCAATATACAGTACAGCATGAGTGAATCAAATCATTACTTTATAGATTGAAAATTTCAAGAGAAATTGCATGAAAAGTCTTACCAGTTTGAACTTGAGTTGGAATGATTTGAGAAAAATGATCGGCATAGAAAAGAAGAAGTGTTTTTTATCCGAATTGACAATAGTCAAGTTTCTTTATTACCAAATGTATTTCTTTCTTTAAGCTTCCTTGAATAACAGAATCAAATCTTTCTTTGTCGCTATGATGATGGACACAGTTGATAGAGAATGCATCGTTGTCCAAGATACGTCGTAATGACCGATATAGAAATTAGAATAGACATAACAAGTGAATCATTTTGAAAGGGTAATGTATATATATAAATGGGAAATTGTCCAACTTTATTTGAAAATATGCATTTCAACAATGGACGATCATCAAAATCATACATATTGCTACAATGAATGTCCTTTATCTTGCGCATATTTCACATTTGTCAAGCAAACGCGAACAGCATAAATGCGTTGGACAACTAAGACTTGAAACTATGGATACATATTGATCAATACCAATTAAAAAATAGCTAAACAATTCAATTTATTCTTGACGGAGCAATTTTTTATTTTCTCCTTCCTCTGCTATTCTAATACAGACAATTATAATTTGGTATCTTACCAATCGCTTTTAATTTTAAATTAGGTCACTGCAGATAACTGCTAGACGACTAGGTAGTAATTTGTGAATCCATTGGAGCATTATCATGACAAACATAGACAGTAGTCAACATGATTGCACTGCAGTAGATAGAATTAATACATATTATGGCTGTTTCCTTGTATCATGCCATGTAGGACTAATTTACATGACCATCATGACCAATTGACGATCACAGGACCGACCGTATATGAGAAAAGTTGGAGTTGAAAAATGAAAGTTTGAATCAGTTCATAAAAGTGAAAAAAATTCAAAATTGACGATCAAGTCAAAATGAATTAGTCTTGATTATGATCACTAATAATGAATTAGCGTGCAACTAAGTAGAAAAATTCAACTTTGATATCTTTCAAAGGGTAACATTGAAAGAGCAACGCAACTTATTGATCGGATAGACCTCTGACGATCGACAAGATAGTATTTGGTAAATCAAGGTGTACAGTAACGATCAATTTTCTGCTAATCATCTTGGTATTATTAACGTTGTATTGCCATTTTACGTACGTATTGTCGATATTGAACTACGGAAGATTTGCCGATAAAAGAATGCTGTAGAATATTTGCACACATTGATATACGTTTATCAAACCGACCAATATATTCCATAGGTTATGGATAGCATACTGCTTGTATATACTGTACGTCAATGAAAATCAATCATTCTTAGTTCAGCAGCAATTGGCACCAATTGAATTTGTAAATGGTTTGACAGTGTGAAGATAGCTCAAAACTCTCTACCTATTTTTGAATGGATAGATCGATTGATATTGAAGTAAATAGAAAGAAGTAACTGGAAACCGTAGGCGATCTCTACAAGGTGGCGAATGTATATACTCTGCAGACAAAGCATGACAATACAATTGTCTACGGACATTTAACTTGAACTTGTCGGTAATCAACAACAAATAAAAAAAAAGGACTACAAATAATAAGACGGCAAAAGTAAATCCAAAGCAAATTGTGTTGATGGCCCTGTGAATACCACACCAATAAAATGGGTTCAAAATTGCGACTGAAATTATCTTTCATGCAGTCGTTTCGACTTTCCTTACTCAGCCCTCCTCCCCCCCCCCCGGAGTTCGCTAATTTAGTGCGTTTATTATATGTCAACAAGGTATCTGTCGATCCGTAAGGTTTACTACGGGAAGTTTTTAAAAACTGATTATCTTTCTATTTATTAACTGATTGTAGTTGATATGGATAGGTAAATGCAGCAAATGGTCGTCAAAGAATGATCCGATCCAATCATACTCAAGGTTTTGGGGAAAAAATCAGGCAGAGTATGGTCTCCATTTGAAGGTACAATTTCTCTCTACTGTATAAATGAATAGGTGAAGAATGATAAATTTGCCAACGATTACGGCGTAAGAATGAAATAATTGAACCACTTTGGTCGCTATGTGGCTCGATTGACAGCTGGGGAAGCCGATGCCTTTATTGATTGGAAATCGGGTAGTATATCATTTCACTCATCTACTTGTAGATAGTATAGTACGGGTAAAGTGGTGGCGAAAGAAGGACTTTTATCAATGTTATTTATTTGGTATTTCTATTTATCGGATAGGTGTGTAAACTACACATTACTGAGGATATCCATGGCTGTTTAAAAAACTCGACATCAAGATGAAATCATTGTGTTGATGATGAATCATTCTTGGCATTATTGAAGAAGTGGACGACATATCAATCAAACGAAAGATTACTGCAAGTTCTCTATCTTTTATTTTAAATCGTTGCAAAGAATAAACAAATAATCAATCAATTCTTCTTACCGATTTTGAGCTTTGAAGGAGGAACTGCCAAGCTTTGGCGGAAGGAAACTAACTTGGAGAGACTACAACAATTTTGAAACAAATCTCTTTCATCTGTAACTAAGAGGAATCATGGAGACGAGCTACAGTCCGCAGTTGACCACTTATAACTACAGTACTTTGCTCTGTAGCATACAGTGTACAGTACAATTCAGGCAAAAACATGTACGTACAGTACTGTACACTGTAACGCACAGGACATTCTACAGTACAGTACCGCGAGAAGAAACTCGATTGATCACTGAATGATCAGACAACTGACCGCAGCGTGACGTAGAGAATGTGTTATGTCATAACAGTACAGTATTGCTTGACGGAGTCCATCCGCTCGTCCACTACAGTGCTCTATACTGTACAGTACAGTGTACACTAGGGTTAGAAAGTCTCTTCTACAGTGTACAGTGTGAAGTACACTGTCGCACTACAGTATAGAGTACTGAGTACTGGACTGGATGAGCGGATGGACTCAGTCAAGCGTTGTACTGTTGTGACGTAACCCATTCTCTACGTCACGCTGCGGTAATTCGTCTGATCAATCGAGTTTCTTCTCGCTGTAGCAAGACTCTACTTTGGACGTCGATTGTAGACGAGGGAAATGAATTGG